ACCACCTGGCAATGCCGGGCCTAAGAAAAACATAATCTAATTCATAGCTATTTACTGAAACATTAAACCTCATCTCTTTTTATTGCTGGAATTCAAAGTAATTGAACAAAAATAAAGTTCAACGTTTTTTTCTTTGATTAAAATACATAGTTTTATTTGAATATTTCTTATAAACGAATGAGAATATTACAAAATGAAAACATTGCGATTGCACTCCAGGGAGGTATAAGCGCCACATTTAGGAATATTTTTGTAATTCTTAATTGGGTATTTGAAACTCAAGAGCTTTGTACTGTTGCGTCATCGAGATCATGTGATTCTCACGCCCTTTACTTTCTAGAACTATCCTGTACTTTGGCGAATGCTCTAGTGTTTGTTAGATATAGGGTAGTTGGGTATATAAAAGGGGGGAAGGTAATGTGTGTGGACAGTGTGTAATTGATCTGCAGTCAGAAGTATTATTGACGTTCGTTGATATAGCGTTTGTTTTAGCGCGATTGTTGAAGTTGAGTGTATCGGTAAAGTTATATTCGGAAAGAATAAACCAGTTTTATTAAGTAAAGACTTGTGTCGTTAAAATTTCGTCGGAACAAAGTTACGGAAAAATGAATTAATAAACGGAGACGTAACAGTACATTAGTGCGGTGTTATCATTAACAGTGCCTTTAAACTGCCGCTTAGAACTGACGACAACAAATAAAAAATAATGACAAAAAAAGAAGCTTTCGAAACATTTACATGAGCGGAAAAAAAGTGCGAAGCAAAAATCAGTTTAAATGTTCTCTAAAACATTTGTTTAGGATATTGTAAAGATAGCATAAAATGTAACATTTAAAAAAACTGGCTTGTTATATTACGTTTTAGTTTGTTTTGTTTTTTTCGAAATCTAGCCAAAATTATGTGCTGTAAGCTATCATTTGATCTCCTAACACGAATTTCAGATTTCGCTCAAGATTGAATGAGTGTATTCCGAAACGCTTAAACCTTATAAATAAAATGTTTTTTATTTTATCAACCGTCTTCCCTCTTCATTATTAGACTTTGGTTTCCCCATCATGAATCCATTGCTAGAGCTATCATTTGAATTTTACAAATCTCAGTTGAGCGAAAGGACTGAATGCATCACACGGAAAAAAGGTGTCGTTAGAACATGTGCCCATAAAGTTATAAACAAACCTGTAACCTGGTTCCATCGAAACAAGCACAATGTAACGGTTAAACAATCATTGCAAGTTTCTAGTTGGTTACACAGTCATACGTGACCTTGAAGAAGCCGTCACCCCCTAGCCTAGATCGATCTCTTGGCTTATCACCAGGTTGCCTCAGTCCAACATCAGCTGGCTTTCTGCGAGCAGGTAAGTCACCCTGTTAAATAATTCCTGTGTACGAATTCGTGTTTTCCGTAGGAAATCGTAGAAACTTACGTCTACGCCTATAACCTATACTATATTGCCTTAAAGCCCTTTTTTTTACAGTGTTAACTGAGATTAATATAAAACTTGTGATTATGTTTTTTTAGCATTCTATTTATCTCGTTCTTAGTTTGCCTTACTTAAAAGTTTAGAAATTTCGACCTAGTAATGAACAGCAAGACAACAGAAATGACAAAAACACCATCAACAATATACGTAGGTAATATAATTCAAGTTGATACATAAAACATTTTTAAGACGTTATTTGCACAATTATAAACATTTAGGAGGAGAAAATTGTTTATTTGTCTCATAGCAAAGCCACATTTGGGCTACCTGCTGTGTCCACTGCGGGGAATAGAACCTCGGATTTTAGTGCCTTAAGTTCATAAACTTACTGCTGTCACACCGCGGGACTTGAGTAAAAGAAAGAAGAGGAGACTGAAAATAAAAATAGAACATGTATATATTTAAATATATAAAACAACGAAGTGTACAAGTTGTTTTATTAACCGTTGTCAACACAGGGCTGTTTATGTTCGTAGCTAATTTGTAAGATTTAATTTTAATTTAACACTTATTATTTGGGCTGTTTCTTTTCAAATGTTTTCTCTCTTAGAATGCTAGCCATCTTTCTCTTAACAACGGTAGCATTTGGGCAAGAGCTAAGTCGAAACTTGACCGCTGGTCAAAATGGGTATCATAAAGGGGAACTGGAAACTATTGGTCAAACTGTGGAAGGATTGTGGAGCTTAGACAAAGCACCAACAACTGGTTGGAGCCCCGAAGTACCACGAACTAATCGTGCAGAACTTGATGTACCACTGGTCCCTATAGCTTTAGCAGATACTGAGTCTCGGATGCTGATTCTTAATACTGCTGCTCAATATGGCCTACAGATGGCTGATGACATCGTAGAAACCCTTGAACCAATGTTATTTAGTAAAGGTAAATAATTGCAATTTTCTCTCAACTGTTGAATTACTTTAAAAAATGCCAACCTTATAGTTTTACAGATCACGCAATTTAATGACGTATAAGTAAGTATTTTTGAAGTATGAAATTGAAATTATTTAATGCAAGGCTCTTTTCCGTCAGAGACGTTTTTAGTTCACCTACATTCCACTAGGGGTAACTGTGTTTATTTATTTGTTTGTTGTTATTAAGCGCAAAGCTATACAATGGACTATCTGAACTGTGCCCACCACCGAGCCACTTGGGGGTGGGTAACTATGAAAATTTATTGATGTTACACGAATAAAATTATTTTTTTATTTACATATTTCTAGCTAGCGATCATATTGATTGTAGTGTAATCCCTACAAAGTTAAACGTAATATATCCTTATTAATAAGGTGTTTTAGATACAAACAGTAATCTTATTTGGATATCGTATATCATAATAAATATTATTATATAGTTGTTATGTCAATCTGTGATATAGTCTTCAAGATTTTAGTGATAACATAAGTGATTTATGTTCAAGCTTTTCTAGCAGCTTTATTATATATTTTTTACTTTGTTTAAATATGATAATTATGCCTTACATATTTTTTCCAGGGGTTATGTTACACGACTCGGACGTAGGATCGTTATTATCAACGTTCTCCAATCTACTTCCTCAGGCTAAGCAGATGTCTCGGGTTGCATTAGCTGCTGTTAGTGCTACAAGTCTGTTATCCGAGAGGTATGTTACAACTTTAAAAAACAATGAAAGTGGCATCTGGCACGTAAAGATTGTAAATGTGTAACTTTAAGTCATATATATATATATATATATATATATGTGTGTGTGTGTGTGTGTGTTAAGAAGAATACAAGTCAAACATTTGAATTTCAGTTATAAGAAAAATGTTGACCTCTAGGCGTGGACTAGTGGTTAGTGTGCCCTGAATTGTGAATCTGAGAATTCAACGTTCTAGTTCTGTTGCCTCAAAAACGCACTCCGCACCTTGAGGCTGTGGGTGCACTATAAAAGTGATAATCAGTTCAAACAAGTATTTTGTGGAGAGTGCTGTTGACTTGTTACTTCCCCCTAGTTCAGTGGTTCCCAAACTTTTTTGTTCGTGGGACATCTGAACGTTTTTTTTAGGGGGGGGGATGCTCTGCGGATCATATAATAACTGAATAATTCGACAAAACAAAATAAGCATATAAAATTACTATAGTATTAGTGTTAACGACCAACTTACCTTACTACGCTTTAATGGTGTGTGTGTGCTTGTTTTTGTAAAAAAAAAAAACGTTCTGTAATGTTCGTCACCTTTAGCCTCAGGTCAGGTTCAGCATTTACTCTGCTTTAGGGTCGCAAGTAATGAAGGTCACGTCTCGTTCAGGTAAGTAATAGCAAATGGCGTCAAAAAATGAAGTGAATTGTCAGCAAGTTATGGATACTCTCTAGTAAGTTTAGTTTTCTGAACCCAAAACTCTGACCTTAATGTTTCAACAGAGCTCCAACAAGTGCTCTTCTTCTTTCATACAGATGGGCCATTATTTTACAATGTGCAAAAACCACAAGTAAAGAACATTTTTTTTGTATTATAACTCAAAAAGCCATATAACGTAGAGGTTTCGACTTTTACATGTAACATCTACGTATTATTTCTGCTTATATTGACGAATTGTTAAAGTCTCAAGTGTCGAGTTTGTTTCGGGATCCACAAACTCCTGGTTTCTGTGGTCGGGAATCCTTTCCGGGGGACCACAACCAGTGATTCTCGAACCACAGCTTGGGAATCTTTTTTGTAGTCATGAATCCTTTCCGGGGACCACAACCAGTGATTCTCGAACCACAGCTTGGGAACCTTTGCAGTCAAGCGGTGAAATAGCGATAAGCCTACTGACTTACAACGCTAAAATCCGGGGTTCGATTCCCACAGCAAATAGACCAATGTGGCTTTACTCTAAAACATTTAAACAATGGTTGAAACACACACACGAACCTCTGCAGTCTAGTTTATAAGTTCAAAATTTTGAACGGTTAGCGCAGATAGTCCTTGTGTAATTTTGTACATAAATTGTGCCCCCACCCACCCACCCAGTAGCACAGCGGTATGTCTGCGGACTTACAACGCTAGAAAACGGGTTTCGATACTCGTGGTGGGCAGAGCACAGATACCCCATTGTGTAGCTTTGTGCTTAATTACAAACAAACACAAAAATTGTAAGAAAAAAAAACATTTGTAAAAAATGACGAAATCGTTTTTTTAAAAATTTGGAAATTTTAAAATACTGCGAATAAAAAAGATAGTATAATTTGATCAATTGGATTTTTTTAAGACGTATTATAAGTGTTCTATGATCTTCTTTGTAGATACCGTTCATAAAATAAAATTGTGAAATAAGTGTGTTTGAAAGTATTTCAATATGCACCATAGAAAGAAAAAAAAAGTGTTTTTAATCGATACCGAAACACCTTTATTATCATTATTAAACTTAGGCCTAAAACGCTTCCACATTTCGATTAATACACAGAAAAAAAATTCGAATATTATATGTTACATATTTCTTTTCTTTTTTCACCGAAGGTAAACTTGAAAAAAAAAAATGTGACATAGAAGCCTAATACATTATTTGATTGGCTGTACCCTCTGCTGTGGACTGCAGTTTCGCTTATTCAAGGCTCATCGGCACAGCTTAGGTCAGGAAACCAAAGAAATACAGTTAGGCCTTTTATAATGGCAATGTGTATATAATGCACTCCCAAATTAACTTAGGTTACTGTGTGGTGATTTAAAAAGACTAAAAAAAAACCATATGTTTTGAATATTAGTTTATCTGTAAATTACTATGAATAATCTGGTCCTATTTCAATGTTTTGTACTTAGGTTCCAGCTCACAAGGGAACAGATCACATCAGGCTTACAACAAATCGACGTCTATAACACACCTCTCTCTACCAACTGTCCACTCCCTGTGCAATCCGACCCCGAATGTCCCTGGTTTAGTCGACATTACCGGACAGCCGACGGCAGTTGTAATAACCAAGCGAATCTGCTCTGGGGCAGAAGTTTGACCCCATTCGTTAGATTCTTGCCTCCAGATTATTCAGACGGTTAGTAGTAATCTCTTTCTCTTTTGTAATAAATATTTTCAATCAGTGACGAATCAATGTTTGGGCGACCGCCAGGGGTCCATACAGAAATAAAAAAATATATATAAATCAGATGAAATTTATAAATATGTTAACTCTCTCAATAGGGGCTCAATCCCAGTGAACGTTTTGTACTAGTATATAGTTTTAATACTATAACTTTTAATACAGTATGTGTATCTTCACAAAATTTGGTAGACGTTTAGTAAACGATAGAGATGTAGAGATTACCGTACTATCACCCAAGGATAAATCCACAACTGAGGTATTTTTCGTTGTCACTGCATTGAAATATCATCTTGATGTCGCCACCATATTTGGATTCCTCTACAAATTATCACCTCTTTCCTGTCAAGAAATCGGACAAGCCACAAAATGTCCTGTCAATTTTTTATTCCAAACGATGTTGAAACCGAGATAGAAAACGAATTGATCCAGTTTTCTACATTGGAAATACCAGAGCTTCGACGTTCATTCACACAATCTGAACCAACAGAATCAGTGGAGTTAAGAATGTTCCTTATCCAAACGTTTCATAATGTTGAGATAGTGCTGGGAATATACTTGTCCATGATGGCATCAAACTGTAGCGATCGTTTTTTGTCCTGGATGGTAGGAGAACTCCCTCCCCTTCCCGCCATAGATATATATTAATCTCTAGCAAACTGAGTCAATTTCACTGTCAAAATCATAATGTCAAGCACATACATGTACATGTGAGAACCGTTTAATGATATACATAGCCTTGTAACCCTGGAAACAATATAGACAAAGCACAAACGTGTACATGTGAGAACCGTTTAATGATATACATAGCCTTGTAACCCTGGAAACAATATAGACAAAGCACAAACGTGTACAAACACATTCCATTCACTAATGAATGACTATGAAGACAAGTTGATTAGAACCTGTATGAAGTAGGAATGGTCTTTTTCTGGTTTTATTATAATTGGATTCGCCAAGAGTTTCAAAAGGTCTAGTTTCGAAGTATGTACCATTCTATGTTCATTATAGACAGACTGTTTAGTTGCCTTTGTCCTGTTCTTACTTGAGCTCACTTTATATTCATTTCAATCTCGAGGCCACCCGTAATCTGTCACTGTTTTCAATAATGTTTCGTTTGACTTTAACCAAGACGTTTTATTTTTAAATAAATTCCATTACAATTGGACGAATATTGAGAGACTTTGCAAGAAGTAGACATATTTCAAACATTTTTTAGGCCCGGCATGGCCAGGTGGCTAGGGCGCTCGACTCAATCTGCGGGTCGCGGGTTCGAATCCCCGTCACACCAAACATGCTTGCCCTTTCAGCCGTGGGGGTATTATAATGTGACGGTCAATCCCATTATTCGTTGGTAAAATAATAGCTCAAGAGTTGGCGGTGGGTGGTGATGACTAGTCTTACACTGCTAAATTTGGGATATCCCTCGTGCAGCTTTGCGCGAAATTCAAAACAAACATTTTTTAAATTAAAGAATAAAACGCTCTTGCGTCAGTTACCACTTATACGTCTTGATTAGACAATACAGTGCACAGAAACTTAAGTAATCAACATCGCCTTAAGACTATATATCAGTTCAGGAACAGTGAATACGTTAATATAACCACCAGGGCCAATATTTTGGAACGATTTCTTTGAGGGTAATTATTACACAATTAAACACAAAGTACAGGAAGCATTAGAACGGTAAAAATCTTAAATTGTCGAATCTCAAGTCAGATTGTGTCGGATTTGTGGTATAGAACAATAAAACTTGTTAAATCAGTGATTTCAGATTGGCAGATTTTGTATTTTAAGGGATACTTGTTATCTGAGTATAACTATTTCATTCTGTTGTTTTTTTCTGATAGTCTGATCATTAAGACGTTCGACTTACAAACTGAGAGGCGTGGGTTCGAATACCCGTCATGCTCGCCCTTTCATCAGTGGGGGTATTATAATGTGACGATCAAAAGAGTAGCCCAAGAGTTGTTGGTGGGTGATGTTGACTAGCTGTCTGGTGTTTCGCTGCTAAATTAGGGACGGCTATCGCAGATACCCCTCGTGTAGCACCAATACATTTGTCAAGTGTATTTACTACGCTGTTTCTAGTGTTTCTTAAAGGCATCAATACATTTGTCAAGTATATTTACTACGCTGTTTCTAGTGTTTCTTAAAGGCATCAATACAGTTGTCAAGTGTATTTACTACGCTGTTTCTTAAAGGCACCAATACATTTGTCAATTGTGTTTACTACGCTGTTTCTTAAAGGCACCAATACATTTGTCAAGTGTATTTACTACGCTGTTTCTAGTGTTTCTTAAAGGCATCAATACATTTGTCAAGTGTATTTACTACACTGTTTCTAGTGTTTACACGTGTCAAGTATGCTTACAACACTCGTGACATTTCATTTTCTGTGACGTGATTAAATGTGAGATTTTTTATCCTGGACGAAAAGTAACCTAAGACAGTTCTGCTGACGACAGTAGTTTGTAAGTGATTTTATGATTTTCAAGATGCATATATATATACATAATTTTTAATCCCTAACGATTTAAACACCCACCTCTTTTTTACACATATTCTTTATCCGTTTCTCCATTTCTTTTGGAATAATTTTGTTTATTATATTTTTGATAAATAACAAAACTTCAGTTGGTTGGGACGTTTTAATCTAGATAATAACAAACAGTGACATCGTATTGTATAAACTTATTTCAAAGTGGAATAACTGGTATCCAACAATATTGACTATCATGCTCAGGCGTCTCTAAACCACGGATATCGCGAGGTCGGACGCCTCTGCCTTCTGCTCGGCACCTTAGCAACGCACTAATCCAACATCAAGATCGTCCCCATCCACGGGCTTCGGTGATGCTGATGCAGTGGGGTCAGTTCCTGGATCACGACATGACCCACAGCGCAGTTACAACGGGGTTCAACGGAGCTAAGTTGCGTTGTTGCGGAGTGTCGCCAGCCTTGCAGCATCCGGCATGCTTTCCCATTCTCATCCCACACGATGACGTCTTCTACAGCCACTACAACGTTTCCTGTATGGAATTTGCTCGCTCCAGCCCGTCTCCTCATCACGGATGTGGTCTTGGTAAGAGAGGTCGTGAAAATACTTTAAAACTCCAAACATATTCTCATAGTTATTAAGTAGTAAAGTTCTGTGCATCAAAAGGTGGAACTCGAAAAAGCATACTTCTTATACAGACTTGTAATTAATCGGTATGATACGGGAGGCTAAAGTACTGACCGCAAAGTTAACGTTTCTTCAGAATCACCTTTTCTGGGTTTAGTTTAGATCAGACTTCTTTAAATTAATTATGTTAAATGTTTATATTTAGTTTCTAAAAGTATATTTAACAAACGGCAAATTCAGATTATTGATGATATTTTCTTTAATAATCACCTGGTCATGAACTACCGTAACGGATTTCTTTTGTCATATGCTACACTTTACAGGACAACTACCTCAACATTAACTTAATACTGTTGCGTCAGCGAGGTCACGTGACTAGTGTCACGCCACGTTTCTAGAACTATCTTGTTCCTTCGTGAATGCCCTGGCATTTACTAGATATATGTTTGTCTGGTATATATATAAGACGCTCAC